AAAAAGCATTGGATATCTCTTACCATTTTTAAAATCTTCCAATCCATAATAGTTTGAACTTTCTTAAGATCCATCAGCAATTCATCATTTGAAATGATGTATTTTAAGAAGTCGACTTGAGTAGTATAGATTACACACTTTTCTATCTTAGCATAGAATCCTCCATCTTTTAATTTTTATAACACATGACGAACATGAAATTCATATTCATCTATGTTTTTAAAGTAGATCAAGATGTTGTCCAAATAACAAATAAAAAAATCATCTAATTTTTTTTTTAAAATCTCATTCATTAGGTGTTAAAAAGCTGCTGGTATATTTGTAAGTCTAAAAGGCATGACGTTGTATTCAAAATGTCCATATCTAGTTCAAAATACACTCTTTCATTCATCTCGTTTTTTAATTTGTACTAAATTGAATGCTTTTCTTAGATCTATTAAAGTGTAGATCTTAGCTTCATTCAATTGATCGAGAAGTTTGGATATCAAAGATAAAGGTTACCTATTCTTAATGGTGATCTTGTTGAATCCTTGATAATCAACTCACATTCAGAATGATCCATCTTTTTTCTTTACAAATAAGATTGGAGCTCCTATTGGTGATTTGGATTGACATGTAAAATTCTTGGCTAGATTTTTTTTAATATATTCCTTGAATTCAGCTAATTCATTTTGTGATAAATTATAAATTGGTCCAAATGGCGATTGTGCTCCTTCTTGAAGGTCAATTGAGTAGTCATAGAGATGATGTTTTGAAAAAATATGTGCATTTTTTTTCTTAAATATATCTTAAAATTCTTGATATTGGCTTGGAATGCCACTTGAAGTCTTTACATTATTAGAAATAAGTGTGGCATAAATGACATAAGGTAATCCTTCTTTCATAGCATGCAAGAAAGTTCTTGCACCTAAAAACATAGGTTTTATTGTGCTAGACTTATGACTTTCTATACATTAATTTCATTCTTAGTTATACTTTTCAAGAAGTCAAGAATACGAGAAATCCAATCTTTGTAAGGATTATACTTTTTTAACTATGATAAACCTAAAATAACTAGATTAGAAGGAGATCTAATTATATTAAAGATTATACAATTACTATGACTATTTATTGCTACATTTATAGGAAGTATTTTATGAGTAACATCTTCAAAAGATAATGGAAGACCATCTATAATTTCTACATGAACAAGTTTAGTTTTTTGTACTAATGATATTTTATAACTTTTAATAAATTCTACATCTAAAAAATAAGCTGAGGCTCCTGAATCTATCAAGATGGAGGCTTTATAATTATTAGGTCCTAAATGCACATCTATTATAAAACAAAGAGAGGATTTTGAAGAGAGGATAAGACCTTCATTAGAAATTGTATAAGATTCTAACCGCACAGTTCCTATTGTAGTTGGACAAATTTGTTTTCTGTCACATTGTCTTCTTTGACAACTATGCTCCTCATTTTGTGGTTTTGTCACTTCTTTGAATAATGTTGAGTACTGTATTTAGGTTTTTCATAATATAAGCACAATCCTTCTTAACATCGATGAGTCTTATCTTGCTTGGTAAGAGGTTTAAAACATATTTTATTAATTTGCATATCCTCTACTTTTGAATGTATATATTGAGAAGATGTTGGTGTTGCCATCAAATTGTAGTAATATTAAATCCCACTTGTGCAACTCTCAGATCAAAATTTAAAAATAAAATTGTTGCACTTCATAGCAAAGTTAATTGCTTGACTCAATGGTTGAGGATCACATAAATTGAACATCAATTTTTTTATTTCATATTATAATCCATAAAAAAATTGGCTAATAAATGCAACTTCATCTCACTTCATAGCAGTTGATAGTTGTCAAAACTGTAAAATATATAATGTTATAGATCAATTCTCTTGTTATAAAATATGGATCTTATTGGTTGCAATACGAGTTGCATCATATTTTCCATACATGAAACAAAATTCTACCAAAAATGCCTCCAAATTATCTAATATTTGATCTTATCATTTAAAAAAAGATGAAAACCATGATAGTGCTAAACTTGAAAGAAGTGTACTAATGAATCTAACTTGTGATATTGGAATTGGATAGCTTTGCGATTGAAGTTCAATCGCAAGTTGTACTTGATTGATAAATCCTCAAAATTTGGATCTTGTACCATCAAACTTCTCAATTAGGGCAACTCTTAGTTCTCTAATACTTAAAGGATGTTTCACCATAGGTGGAGGGACATGATTTGGTGCAGATGTTGAGACAACTCTAATCATTTCTTTATCCTCACTTCTTGCCATTCTTGTTGATCTTTATGGTGGTAAGCTAGGTTGGTGCATTGCAAGCATCAATTTCTTCAATTGTTCTTGTATTTGTGTCATTGCACTCTTCATTTCAATAAGCTCTATCATAATAACACTTAAAAAAATATCTAATACCACTCTAAACAAGTAGAAGAAAGGACTTGAGGACAAAGAAAATAGTAAGAACAATATCAGTTTAGAAGAGGATAATCCACAACTTCTAATATGCTTATGTCTTATCATGAGAAAGGAATAATCTATTCTTAATTAAGACAAGACAAAGCTCTGATATTGTAAATGTATTATTATCAATCTGTCAAGGACATGAACTGGAAGATGATGCATAAATCAATGAAATCCATGTCAAAGAAAAAAGTAAAAAAGTAAAAATAAAGAAGTAAGTAAATTAAAAAGAAATTAGAATAACTTATTGTCAAAAGACAAGAAAACGTGAGACTCTTGAAACTAGACTAAAAACAAAAAAAAAAAAATGACAAGAGTGAAGAGGACTTCACTCTTGTTTCTAAAAATATTATCTAACTAGGGACTATGTAGCAATGTTCTATAGGACCTCGAATATGTGTTAACTTTGTAGGACACATGCTTTGACTTACAAGGCAAGTTTTTCTATACATGCACCACATAGTTAGCTTGTTCTTCAAGCTATCAACATGTATGATATATGATTAATTTGTTGATCAAGTTTCTAACCTAAAAATCAATAATGGACACTTATAAAGTCAAAGAAGTGTCTATTAAGCTTCTAAGAAACTTCTTTAGAAGATATTATAGAATTAACTTACTTTTACCTACTTCTATCTATTTCTACCTATTTATACAAGTAATTATTGGCTTACATGTGTATGCCCGTGAGACTACTAGAAGTGTCAGATGATTGCTCTATACTTGAAAAAAAATTATCATCTTTTGATTAATATATGCTTATTTTTCTTTTGGTTGGTAAAAAATAATTTGACCTTGCAACATAGAAATAATAGTTAAGATATCACATCAATCCAAGTTCACATTAGCTAGAAGCATTGTAGAAAGAGGTGGCTCCAATGAAAACTCCATCATCTTTCTTCCTACCTTAATCAATAGATCTTCTTCATTTAAGGTTCAAAGGCTCTAAATTTATTCTATAGTGAAATAAGTACTTGAAGTAGAGTCGAATCCATAAAATTAAATAATAAAAAATCATTTATTTCTATTATTTTAATTATCAATGTTGTCAAATACAAATTGACCTTTTGCATATTTGGTACTATTGTTGGCAATATTTCATTCATATACATGCTTCTTATATACAATCACTAGTACTTGTTAGGTTTAATTCTTCTTGCATGTCATGTTCATGGCTTTGCAAAAGCTTGCAATATTAGAGTGATCATCAAACAGTTTAATTTCAATTTTGGATTGTAAATTTTTTGCTTTGCAAATCTAAAAGCTACAATATAATAAATTCCTTTGATTGTGAAAGAAGTCTCAACAATATTTGTTGCTACAATAACCTTTTTTATATCAAATGGTAGAGCTTCAAAAAAATTTGTCTTTATTTTAAAGTATTATAAATTGGAACATTGGAGAAGGAATGAATCAAAGATAGGGAATAAGGATGAGGAATGGTTGAAATAGGAAGGTTGGAACAAGGAGGTTGAGATTGAGGAGGTTGAGAATAGAGATGTTGAAACAAGGAAGTTGGAACGAAGGATGGTGAGAATAGGAAAATTAAGATGAGGATGTTGGTATAAGAGATAGATGCTAAGAATTAAAATGGAGGCTAAAAATGGAGATAAAAAGACAAGAGATCAAGGATGGAGGACAAGGAGAAGGGAGGGTTTTAATAATGGTTTTGATAGGTGGATTGATTTAATAAAAGTTAGGAACAATTTATCATTCTTCTAAATTTAATACATCAAATATTTTTTTGATGAACTATAATATATACTTATACATATAAAAATAAGTGTAAATATAAATATAAATATATCTATCTTATATATTAAAGTCTGTAATGTCTATTGATATGCATCCATTTATAGCACCATTTATCTTTTTATACATACATCTTTTTATAATTTTATCAAAAAATTACTAAAATTTATAATTGATTTCTGTCTCATTTAAGTATCTCAATAATTGAAAAAAGAAGAAGAGATCCAACATCAAAATTTGATATCAAGGGTCTCAACTCCATGGATTTTAATTACATTTTAATCAATTTGTAAGAGACACACAACATTCTTCTAGTTCAATTTTTATTACTATGATATTATTGTAAAGAAAAAAACTCCCTGCTGCTGCAGCAATTAATTTCCACGTCCCTAAAAGTTATTTAAAGCTTTGTTACTCTAACATGTTCCTCTTGAATCAAATTTGATCCCTCCTCAACCAAGGAACTAACACTCACCCAGCCCACTGAAATGGGTCCTATCGCAGAAAGGAGACGCGTGCACACAAGGCCAAGTGGGGTCCTGCCACCACGTCACGGAGGCCACCTGCCAGCTAGGACAGCCCCTATCGCCTCGTGGGCTCCGACTCAGCCTGGCCTGGGCTGGCCTGCCCGTCGTCGTCGTTACCCAGCCTCGTCGGAGTGCGGCCCATCGACGCAAGCAATCTGCCCTGGCCTGGCATCGATGGATCTATGCCGCGATCATCTCTCCCTTCGATCCAAAGCGTATATCAAGGAATCACTTCCACAGCTCCGTGCTGCTGTTGCTGCTTCAATTCGGGGATACAAGTGCCAGGGCTGTGTGTGTGGGGGGTGTTTTCCAGGACATTCTGTACCACGGCTGGGTTCGCAGTTTCGTGGGTTCACTGTGGACAGGGGGAATCTGAAGGCGGTTGGGACTCAGATGAGTTGCAGAAACGAGAAGAAAGCGTTTTCAATTTGTATAGGAACCCCGTTTTCGAAGAATTTGGTAGTTTCGTAGCTGTTGTTGCTTTTTAACCCACCGCGAGAATCGTTTCACAAACCAGCCTTGGCCTTGGTTGCTACTTCCGTGTTGGATTTGAAATCATCGGCTTTGGAATTTTACCTGCAGTTATGATTCTTTGCCCTTCGCAGTTTTTGTTTCGCTTTTGAGTATGTGAGCTTGGAGAACTGCACGATTAGGTCGACAATGGTCCGGCGAAGGTTTTCTTTTGGTTTGGTTTCGAGGCTCTCGTCGCCGATTTATGGCCGAAGCCCGTGCTCGGGAGGCATTTGGACGCCATGTTTGGGCCAGAAGAGGTCTTTCATGACAGCGAAGGATCTTGTGGAAAGCGAGGAGCCGGAGAAGAAAGTCACGAACAGGATAAATATGTTCTCTGCTATTAATCAAGCTCTACATACAGTCCTCGACTCCGATCCCAAGTACTGTACTCCCTATTCCACTAGATGGCACAATTGTTAATTCCATCCGTTGAACTAGATATGCGATTAATGGTCCAGTTTTGTGCGATCGACGGGAGGCTTACGTTTACGTTGTGGGCGCTCTTCACAGATCATACGTCTTTGGAGAAGACGTGGGGTTCGGCGGCGTGTTCCGGTGCACAACAGCATTACGTGACAAATTTGGAAGGCATCGTGTCTTCAACACTCCCCTATGTGAACAGGTTCTTCTCATATTTGCCATTCGATCAGGAATCTTTGCAGTAGAATTTTACATGTCTTTGAAATCGTGAGCGAGTTCGCTACTGCAATTTGAATACACCTTTCCCTGAGCCACAGATACCAGGCAAGGGACTTGAGTTGAGAATCCTACGATTCCTATTGATTGCATACTCTGTATTCAATTGCCTTTTTAATTGTCGTGTGCAGGCCATTGTAGGTTTTGGGATCGGGTTGGCCTCCATGGTGAGAGTTTGTAACCTCTCTCTCGCTCTCGCTGCTTCTTCGCTATCTGTAGGGACTACTTCTGATATTTTTTGAATGCTTCTTTAAGTTAAAGCTATCCGCTTTTGCTGCGAACAGGGTAACCGTGCCATAGCGGAGATTCAATTCGCCGACTACATCTTCCCCGCGCTGGACCAGGTAAAGGGCGGGGTTATCCAGGGGGGATTTCTGTTGAGGCCACTTGTTGTTTATTCAATTATCTTGTGTCTGGTCTTTGACTGCGGCATTGGCTTCTGACGTGATTGCTTCTTGTGGAACTTCAGATCGTGAATGAAGCCGCAAAGTACCGGTACAGGAGCGGAAACCTCTTCAATTGTGGAGGTAAACGCTCCACTAAACACAATTGGCTGTAACTTGTTCAGATTCCAACAGCTTAGTCGAATATTGAGCCCAAACGGGTGCTTCGCTACATGCAGGGCTTACGGTTAGGGCGCCATACGGAGCGGTGGGACACGGGGGACACTACCACTCGCAGTCTCCCGAAGCCTTTTTCTGCCATGTCCCTGGCATCAAGGTTAGTCGTGTCCTTCTCTTCTGTAGCAAAGTGTGTCGCAACAAAAGCAGTTGACACGGTGAGTCAATCATTTTGAAGGCTTGAGCTGAAGGAGACAATGCTTCGTTGGAATCCAGGTGGTTATTCCGAGGAGCCCGTCTCAAGCGAAAGGACTCCTTCTAGCTTCGATTCGCGATCCTAATCCTGTCGTCTTCTTCGAGCCTAAGGTTTCTACTCTACAAAATTTTGCCATAGATGACAAATTTTAACATCATACCCAAGCTGGAAGGGATCTGAAATAGTACTGCTAAGGTTCTGGTGATTCTGCTTTTCAACCTCCTGAGCTCTTGCACGGTGGGACTGTTGTGTTGGGGAAGATAGTGGCTGTACAGATTAGCGGTGGAGGAAGTTCCAGTGGATGATTACACGCTTCCTTTATCAAGCGCAGAGGTGAGCTAACCCTAAAATTTGCTGTCAGAAATCTCGAACTTCGCATCGGTGATTGTGTATCGTGCATATTCATTAAACTATGTGTGTAATTTTTTTGTGGTTGCAAACCAGGTCATGAGGAAGGGAAGCGATATCACTCTAGTCGGATGGGGCGCGCAGCTGGCGATCATGGAAGAAGCTTGCGACGAGGTTAGCAAATTGGGCATCTCATGCGAGCTCATCGACCTGAGGACGCTCATACCATGGGACAAGGAGCTCGTCGAAGATTCTGTCAACAAAACAGGAAGACTGTTGGTAAATCACAAGCTCAACAGACATGCATACTGCGATTCGAATCTCATTCTAGTTGCATGTCAGCTCTGCCGGATTATTGGGTTCCTCTCGAGCTTGGAAACTTAATGTTCGCAATACTGAAGTTGGTTCGGATATAGTAGTCTGGCAAGCTTATTTTCCCCTTTGAGAAACTGAAAGAACTTTAAATGTGGCAGGTGAGTCACGAGGCGCCAGTTACCGGAGGATTTGGAGCTGAAATAGCAGCATCCATTACCAACAGCTGCTTCTTGCGAGTACAATCTCTCACACAACCCCAGATTTCAACACCTGCTTTTTCTTAGAATCCCTTCATGGGAAATCTAGGTCGTCACTTCTTCCATTTTGCTCCACATAGACATTCTTATGATTCGACTTGCACCAGCAAACTCAGTCTCTTCCGTTAAGCTCCTCAACTCTCAGGTTTTTCTTCTCAGTTCTTAGTTGACTCTTTTTGCTTGAGCACAGTTGCAAGCTCCGGTGTCGCGCGTTTGTGGCCTTGATACCCCGTTTCCGTTGGTGTTCGAGCCTTTCTACATGCCGACCAAGAACAAGGTAAGCATGATACAACATTCCAAGCATACAAACTGTAGAATCAGCTTCCAAAGCATGTGTGGTTGAGTAGATTTCTCGATCTTGTAAACCTCTGCTGTCGACTTCAGATTTCCAATTGGGGAAAACTGCTATTGTGGCTGATTTCTTGCATCTATTGTTTTCTTTTCTTTTCTTTTTGAACTGTAGATAGTGGATGCCATCAAGGCTTCTGTGAACTTCTAGCACTTGAAGAAACACCCAACTTGTTCGTGAGCTGCAAACTAGAAGCGTGGCATGCTGGCAATTTCTTTCCCCTTAGTCCAAGAGCATGAGTTATTAGGGCAAAAAACTTCCAGTGGATATCAGGAGACATGATCAGATGCTGCCTTGTGATTGAATTGTCAAGTTCAGAATGAGATTTCTGTTAGTATCAACTGTATAGAATTTCAGCATGAAGATTGTATCAATAGGATGCTAGACCTATGTAAATGACATTTGTGAGGGATCCTCTAAGCTTTAAGCAATGCTGCTGAGAGCAACTTCAGCTTGGCTTCGCTTACCTATGCAGCTTCATTCTTGTGTGCGATTTATATGAAATGTTGAAGACGAGATCAGAGAGTCTTCTAAGCCCATTCTTCGAATTTTTGATCTTGTGCACAGGAACTACAAACTTTAGGTTTATAAGTGAGGAGTTGATTTGGTAGTTCTTCCGAGAGACTTGTTCACAATAGAACCATAATTACGTAACTGATACTTTGAAGATGGGAATCCAAATCCTGCTGATTGGGTGTCAAATATATGTTTTACAGTTTTTGGTGATCGACTTAACAATAGAAAGCGGAAAGGATGCATGGAAGAAAATTGTTTAAAGGAAATAGCATCAATTGATGAGAAGTGTATCTTGAATAAAGATGTTGACATTCCTCAAAAAAGATTGGAAGTATGACACACTAAATTGGAAGTACAAACACTAAATTGATAAATTTTCCCAATTTTTTATTTTATTTTATCAATATTAGATATATAGGAGATAGTCTAAATTTTAAAGTGACATGTAATTTTTTGTAATTACATGTCACTTTTAAACTACGACAAGGTTGATTGATGTTGGTTAAACATGGTCAGTCACGTGTACAAAGTCTATCAAGGGCTATTTGAGTTCACTAGTTTTATCCTGTATGAATCAGAGGCTTTACAGCATGTATTACAACAGGATGGCATCTAAATCTATCTGTGATAGGTTGTGTGTCTTGATGCTGCCTTTGCTTTTCAAACGCAGTGTCTTCTCTCGAATCAAAATAACGTCATCCTTGATATAGACTGCACCAGACCGATTCTATTTGGGAAACGAGCGCCGCATGCTGTGTTGTGATGAAGCTGAGAAGCTTGAAGATATATATCGTGCCCACAAATTATTCCAGGGGTTAGCTTTTGAAGATCCAGGTGCTCTTGACTTATCAATGGGTGAGTGTTTTCATTGTAGAGGAACCAATAATCTCATTACTCAACTTGCTAAATGTAAGAAGTTTACTTCATGTTTCTTAATCAAGTTTCTACATGCATGTGACAGTTGGAGGTGCGTTTCTTTCCTGTTGTTGTGTGCTTCTTGTCATTGGAAGGTTTCCTCTCTTTCTCATGGCTAAGTATAAGAAAGATATTGATAAGAATGAAAAAAGCTTATTTATATCTCTATATATACTATCAAATTAGGAGCTATGTGACAACATTCTAAAAGAGCCTTGAAACGTTTCCAACTTGGAAGATACATATCTAACTAGGAAAAAAAAATTCCTACATGTGCACCACGTGGCCAACTTGTACAAGTCACCACCATCTGCAACACATGGCCAACTTGTACAAGTCACCAACATGTGCACCACATGGCCAACTTGTTAGCCAAGTTTTCAACTTACCAATCACCTACAAACATGTATAAAGTCAAATTCACATTTAGAAAGCTTTTAAGAAGCTTTTCCATAACATATTATCAAATCTACTTACTTCTACTTACTTCTATCTAATTCTTCAATCTACATAAATGTATATGTCTATGATAAGCCAATGATAAGATTTTGACACAATGATGACTACATTTAACAACCATGCCTTTGCATGCCAATATAGTGGATGTCTTTGTCAAGTTTTTATTTGTCAATTAGATAATGACCACCAATTAGTTTCATTCTCATCCGTAGCATGATGAGATCCTAATAAACAAAGCCTTGTTTAACCTCTCCTATAGTTTCTTGTCTTATCTCACAATTATTAAAGATTTCGTGTATTTTTTCTTGCTCACAAATCCATAGGCTATGACGTTGCTCTCTTTGATGCAGATATTGTCATCAAAGAGGTTGATGAAGATTTCTTTACTTTATTTGCTTCTTTCAATGAATACATGGTTGTTTAAATCCATTTGGACTAAGGAGAGATCTATTGAGAGTGCAGTAGATTAGATAGATTCTAGGATGAATACTAGTATTTGAGATTAATATCCTCAAGGCCAAATTGATTTATTACTTGAGATTACAACAATGTTACTTGGATCATCAATAGATTGATTTGCATATAATTGTTAATAAAGATTTTCACTTTAGCTTAAGTTACAAAATCATTTGCTTTTTTGACTTATTAGATGATGACTTTTAGTTTTATATGAAGTGTTTTTTTAGAATTTATATTTGATTAAATTACTACTTGATTTAGTTTGCATGTTATTTTAGGTTGGCTATGTAGAATTTTGCTTTGGCTTATGTTTATGTCATATATAATGTAAAAAAGTCTTACTTGTTTTGTATGTTTTGGATGATTTTTATTTTTTATATTGCTATAGTTGAATTGAATTGGTGATTTTTTTTTAAATGCTTAAAAATATGTGTTGTTTTGAATTATTCTAATAATTACATAACTAATATATAGTGAATGATTTATATGAGAGTTAAGATGTAGATTATAGGTTGTAGAATGAAGTAATCAAAAGTAAAAAAACAAATGTTATTCAAAATAAGTGATGGTGATTTTGTAGGTTTATTTTTGACTCAAGATGTAATATTAAAAAAACTTTTGACTTGAAGAAATAGTTTAAACAACGATCTTCTTGCAAATTATATGTATTGAACTTTATGATAGTTGTATTTATTCTTGACATTGAAGTCTTGAATTGTTTAGAATTTTGTGTTAAAGATGTTATAAATATGTTCATATGACATTGACAATAGGTGTGATATTAAATTATAACTTTTTTAATTATTAGATTTAGAAACTTTTGAAGAATGATATTTTTCCTTGTCAAGGTTTTTATTTTTATTTTTTGATTTGGATCATATTCATATTTTTTATTTATATTTTATTGTGTATACTTCTAGTATTTCTATTATACAATGTAGTATTTTAATAATAAGTAAGATTTCTTTATTATTTGAATATTATATAGAATTCAATTATTCAAATTAATATTATAGACTTAATAGTATAAATTTAATAGTATATTTATAATGGGTAATTTATAAATTTTTATATTGAAGATTAAAGTACTTTAATTATAGTATATTGATATGTATTATATATTTTTGTAACTAATGTGAAGAAATTAGATAATATGTCATAAGATATATTTTTTATCTTATAATTTTTTTGAACTTTGCTGGATGTAAATAATACTACTAAATCATAAAATATATATAGATCATTTAAGTAAGATTTTAAGCATTTCATATGGATGTTGCAAAACAAATACAATAATAATAGTGGCCTTTCTATATTATGATAAACCATCTTTTTTATATTATAAGATTAGGTTTTTAAATTATTAATTTATTATGATATTTTTTACTTTGTATTATATATATACAATAATTTTAAATATAAATTAAGACAAATAATTAATTTAGAAGAAGATTCATACCATACATCTAAAATTGAATAGAAGTAATACCTTATAGTTGAATAAAATCATGCTTGTTTAATTTTGATACTCAATGATGCTTGATTTTTTAAATAATAGTTACATAATTTCACCATTTTGAACTATTTTAGATAATTAAGATCAACATATGTTTTTTGAAAGTTTTAATTAAAAATTCTTTTATAGATGTTAGAATTTCTTATGACATTTATATTGGAATAGTTTTTAAAAGCTCTTGAGGTATATATATATATATATATATATATATATATATATATGTTTTAAATTTTATATACCTTGCAATCATATATTTTGACTTTGATGTTAATAAAAATTAGACAAATAAGACACATTGTGAATTAAGAGTTATTAAATTGGTTATTTTTGTAATTTTTTATTATATTATAAATTTTTTGAAAAACTTTGAATTTATAGTACATTACTAATAATTTTATTATAATTTTATTATTTTAATAAATAAATTCTAAATTCTTATTTAATAGATTTTTTAAAGATTTTATCTAATTATTAATATAATATAAGATAAAATTTGCATAATAGTTTAAAAAAAATTTGTGGATAGTATAGAAATTATTGGATTTTTTTTACTTATTTTCAAATTTTAAATTAATATAATATTGATTTCAAGAAAGAAACATTTTTATAATATTATAAAATAGATTTTTATCAGATCTTTTTATAAGTTGCAATCCTACTTAGATGTTTTATTTATAAAGATAAATTATAAAAAATAAAGAAGCTAAAGTAATATTTAAATCTTTTATGATAATTTTTACTACAATACCAATCTAATTTATTGCATTGACTTTTTCAAGGTATTTTTTATGAAAAAAAATGCATCAAAGTTTGCCTTAAGTGTATTATTGTCAAAAATAAGAGCAAATGAAAATCTTCATTCTAATATATTTTATTTAAAGAATATTTTAGCAACTAAGATGAATCACAAGATCTATAATAAATAACTTTTTATAATTAAAGATTGATTTTAAGAATAGCACCATTAAAAGAAAGAAATTTTAATTTAATACATTAAAAAATATTTATTTATATTATTATATATATAATTCTTTATATATATATTAAGAAAACATCAAATATTTCATATTAATAAATATTTTGAATCATTACCAAACCTACTAGAGCATGTCTATCAAGATTTGTATTCAATATCAATAATTGGCTAAAAAACCAACAAGATTTGTTTGATGTTGTTTTTACATATTCTTATCTTATACCAAAAGAAAAAAAATGCAGCTTTTGATCCATAAAAAACAATTCTTTTGAAGCTAGAACAATTTCATCTTTGAGTAATAAAATCAATATTAATTATTGATTTAGTATTTTTTGATTAAATTCAATTAAATAAGTCCTAATATCTTCTTTTTCTTAATATCAAATATAGTTATTCTAAATTTTATGATATTTTTAAGTTTGATTTCAAATAAAATCTTTTCTAATTTTAAAAATATCTATATGTTTCAAAAAAAAACTTATTATAGTTATTCAACTACAAGATATTTTTGATAAAACAAGAAATCAAAACTAATCTCAAGAAATTTTTGGTGACCTCAAATATAAAATATAGGTAAAGACTTTGTACAATCATGTAATATATATTTGATCAAAAATTACTTGTCAACAATATTATGGACTACTACTATTATAAGAATAATTATGGTTATCTATTTCTATGGATATTATTATAAATCTTCTAATCTT